TTCGACGAAGCTCTCTGATCCACGCGGTTTACCGTCGCTTGTTTCCCATCTCTAGGCCTGCAAATAAACAAAAACAAATCCACATTATGCCCCACCCAACATCTGGAGTTCATAGGAGCATATCTCGACTCCCGGACGGGACTGGCATCTCTCCCACCCGACCGCTTCAGCTCCAGCAGCCTTCTGGCCACAAAACTTTGCAACAGTCCCCAGGTGACTGTCCGAGTCTGTCTACAAATACTAGGTCACATGGCCTCGTGCACTTTCGTGGTGCAAAATGCACGACTCTACATGAGGTGCTTCCAAGCGTGGTTGGGCACGGTTTACAGACCGAATGTGCACTCTCTAAACAAGACTCTCTCCATACCTTTCCGAGTCAAAGATTCTTTACTGTGGTGGACAGTTCACTCCAACCTCTGCTCTGGAGTCCCCTTTCTTCAAGAGGCTCCATCCCTCATACTGACTACCGATGCATCTCTGACTGGGGTGCACACATGTTTCACCACACATGGTCTTCAACCAAAACCTCTCTGCACATAAATGTCTTAGAACTTCGAGCCATATGCAATGCGTGCTGTCACTTCCTCCCACTATTCGGGAATCACCATGTACGCATAATGACAGACAACACTGCATGCATGTTCTATGTAAACAGGCAGGGAGGAGCTCGCTCCCACTCGCTTTGCACAGAGGCTATGAAGCTCTGGAATTGGTGCCTTGTGAACAACATCCGGGTATCAGCTGCCTATCTTCCTGGAGTGATGAACACCACAGCGGACGAACTAAGCAGACTCTTTCCCTGGGATCACGAATGGGAGATAGATGAGAAAACCATTCACAACATATTCCGCATTTGGGGTCACCCAACCATAGACCTTTTTTGCAACTGCGACAAACACGAAATGTCCCGATTTTTGCTCCAGAGCGGGACTGGGCAAACATTCCCTGGGAGACGCATTCATGATCCTCTGGCACCGAAACTTACTCTATGCATTTCCCCCGATACCGGTTCTCAACAGGGTCCTGATAAAAATACGAACAGACCGTGTCAAGGTGATCCTGATTGCCCCAGCATGGCCCAGACAACCGTGGTTTCCGTTCCTCACCAGAATGTCGATTCGACCACCAATCTCATCCCGAACCTCCTATCACAGCAACACGGCCGATTTCTCCACCCCAACCTGTCCATGCTTCACCTCAAAGCCTGGTTCCTACATGGTTCTCCCAAAACGAACTAGATTGCTCTGAACAAGTTCAAAGAGTGCTCCTACATAGTAGAACACAATCTACTCGCACCACCTATCTACGAAAGTGGAAACGATTCACACATTGGTGTTCATCTAAACAACTTTCTCCCATATTGGTACCTCTCCCGATCATACTTGACTACCTACTGGACCTTAAGCGATCCGGCCTTTCTTTCAGCTCCATAAGAGTCCATTTAGCTGCTATTACAACCTTTCATGACAAAATTGATGATACCTCTGTTTTTGCTCATCCAATCACCAAGCGTTTCCTCAAGGGACTCCAAGACCTATAACCAGACATTAAACCGCCTATCACTCCGTGGGACCTTCATTTAGTCCTATCTTGCCTAACTCAACAACCATTTGAACCCCTAGCCACGTGCTCCCTTTTAAACCTTTCGATGAAAACAGCATTTTTAGTGGCATTACCTCCGCCAGACAGACAGGAGAAATAGCAGCTCTTATGGCAGATCCACCATATACGCTATTTTCTCAGGTTGCACCCTAAATTTCTTCCAAAGGTGCATTCATCATTCCACATTAATGAGCTGATACACCTACCAACCTTTTTTCCGAAACCACATGCCAACTCGTTCGAAGCCACAATACACACATTAGATGTACACAGGACCTTGTCCTTCTATTTGGATAGAACCAAACCTTTTAGAAATTCTTCTAGACTCTTTGTCTCCATCGCGGAGCGTTCCAAAGGGACTCCTATTTCTACCCAGAGACTTTCGAACTGGATTTCTCAGTGCATCCGATTGTGCTATCAGATGAAGAAGGTTACACCTCCAGACGGCATCAGAACTCACTCCATTAGATCTCTGTCTGCCTCTGTAGCTTTCTTACGCAAAGTTCCCCTGGCTGACATCTGTAAAGCAGCCACTTGGTCCTCTGAACACACATTTGTTAAACATTATGCCCTTACTCAAGGCCCTCTCTCTGATATACGTTTGGGCAGGGCTGTACTATCTACGGCATTCCTATCAGGTCCGAAGTCCCTATCTCCTTGAGACACACTGCTTTTAAGTCACCTGGAGTGGAGCACCCACAGGGACATCTCTCTCGAAGAAGAGGAGGTTACTCACCCTATGCAGTAACTGACGTTCTTCGAGATGAGTGTCCCTGTGGGTGCTCCACTACCCACCCTCCTCCCCTCTACTTCGGTGTTGGGGTAGCCTCCATTGTAGAGAAGGAACTGAGGAGACCGGCCACGCGTGCGTACTATTAAGCCAGACTCAGAGCGGGGGGCAGCCTCTGCGCATGTGTGGCCAGTACGAGTACTGCTACAAAAATCTCTGAGCAAAGGCGCAGGGACGCACCAACATTTGGAGTGGAGCACCCACAGGGACACTCATCTCGAAGAACGTCAGTTACTGCACAGGGTGAGTAACCTCCTCTTTCCCTGAGATCTGAAAAAACATACAGTCTCTAAGGGAAATTTTCAAAGACACAAACTAAAAGTCAGTTGGAGTTGAGTACCTAACTCCTCTTTGTGCCTTTGACTCTCTGTAGATGTGTTGGTGTAGATTCCGAAGTGCTTTCGACATCAAAAAACTGATAGCCAGATGAATGTTCTGTCCTTTATCACATGGTCTATGGGCAAGCAGAATACTACTTCATCTGAAATTTGATAGCAGAATGTAATCTGGACCCATACTGTAATAAACAACAACCACAAAAAAACCTCCTCCGTATTGTTAAATGAATTTGCTTCAATTAGAATATAAGCATGGCCCTACTGGGTCAGACCAAAGGTCCATTGAGCCCAGTAACCTGTCTTCCGACAACGTTAGCAAACATTTGCTGCTCACTTTCCATAAATATAATAGAGAATACTGGCAGAAATGTTTGTGGAAACTAAGAATTTTAAGCAGACTTTGGGCAATAATTGTGAAAAATAAACTTTTGAATTCATAAATGTGATTTCCCTCCCCCCTCTTCTTCCCCCCCCCCCCATTCTAAGCATTACCCTTATTTAACTAAGGAATGGAAACATACCATGTGATCAGTGTGTCCTCTCACTGTCCTCCTGACAGAATTTGAATTTAAATATCAAATACTTGTGAATGAGCAACAGACCAATAATTATTTGCCAAATTTGAGTTAAAATAGCAAATAATCACAAGCTGTTTACAGTCAATTGGAGAACAGAAATACAGGAGAGTTAATGGAATATACTTTTTATCCAACTTTCTGAGGCATGTTCTTACTGCAAGTTCAAAGACAACTTCCTTACCTTGTGTGAGCTTGTATCAGAATCCAGAACAGGATGAAGAATCTCTTTACACTGGGATTCTGAAACTAGAAAGACATCAGAATACTTAACCAGACTCTCTCCCTCCCCCCTCCCCTTTTTTCCCCCCTGTTGAGTTTCTTTAGACAGAGCTCCAATGCCCCTTTGAGGGCTGTTGGGCTCATTGCACCAGTGAAGGTCTTTCCAACATGCCAGTTGGAATTTAGGATGACTTGTGCCAAGAAAATACTTTGTCCTTTTGAGGCTCATAATTTTTCAGACTGACTTTGTGGCTTTCAAAATCTACTGACAGGCCTTTTGCAGATCCTGCCTTGCAATTGGCAGGAGTGTTGCGTGTGTTTAAAAGGGAAGCTCATCTTTCTCTTTGATTAGGGCCCTGGAGGTTTTGGATTCAGTTCAGTTTATTATTTCAGATATGTAAACATTCGTTCTGAGGCAGCTCATGTGACTACCAATTATACATTTTGGCATCACTGTGTGACAGTCATGCATTGCTGAAAACTTGAGACAGCACTGCATTCTAGAATTGTGGAACAGGATTCAGGACCTGGGCTTTCACCATTTGAAGCCAGTAGGAACTTTACCATTAACTTCAATGGATGCAGGATCAAGCCCCAACTACACTATATTTGAGTCTTCTCCTGAAATATTCATTGCCTCACATTGAGGTCAACTGGAGTTAAAGGTGCGTGGACCCTTTGCAAAGTACCAGAGAGATTATTATGTCCTATTTGAATGTCCATGAGGGAGTCTCATAAGATTATTGCTAGAATAAGATGATTAAAATCAGCTGGTGCCAAAAACTGAGTTAATTTTTAAAGTGGTAGCAAATTAACTTATTGTAGTTTTATCTTCATTATAATACAGCCTGTACTTTAATGAGCACACACTGCATCCAGATTTCCCATACTAACTCCTAAGTTTTAAAAGTTGCATGTGATTTAGACATACAGGGTAGATTCTTAGTTGATGTAAATTAGCATAGCTACATGAAATCTGTGGAGCTGTGCAGATTTACATAGCTGAAGCTCTAGCCTCAGTTTCCCAAAATGGAGGGATAAATGTTAATGCTTGGAATTGAACTATGAAAGACTACTTTTACTAAAAAAGGCTTCTAATGTGAGACTAATTATCAACAAAATATAACAGGACATATTAAAACCTTACCAGCCAAATTATGGTTATGTCTCAGAGAAATGACTTACTAGAGCTTATGAGAGTGCTTAGTTTGACTGCAAATAGATTGTCTTCTATTCTGACAAGCAACGGCTGTTGGGTCCCTGTGGGGTGGTGTACAACGGCTTGTGATAGCAGGTGGCTATTTTTTGGATGCATAATTTAGTGTTAGGAATATGGATTTCTTGGATGGTCTAGGATTTTACCAAATTTTAAGACCGGTGATTGTCAGTACAAGTTTAACTATATTATTGTACAGCACCTCCTCCAAAATCTCCAACACTTACTGTTGTTTTTGTATCTTATTTTCACCACAGGGTTTCGAATATAGCCGTAGTGGAAATCCGACTCGAAATTGCCTGGAAAAGGCTGTAGCTGCACTGGATGGAGCCAAGTACTGTAAGCTCTCAGCATTTTCATTAAGAAATATGTCAGCATGTGTATCTTGAGTGGACTACAGTAAAAGTATCCTAAGAGGGTTGGAGCACTGGAGTTTGACCACTAACAGTAAATCATTTAACTCAGCTTTTGCTGTCAGCATTTACTTCGTCAGCTTCTTCACTGGTCTAAGCTTTTTTCTTAAAATATACCTGAATTAATATCCTTTAACCAAAATTCTAACAGTGGTTAGTATATAAATATCAACTCCACTCTGCAGGTCAGTAGAACTACTCATGCAGTAACGTACTATTCAGTATAAGTAAGAGTGGCAGAACCTGGCCCTTTATAAAACATTGACGCTAAATAGGAAAACGGGGGAGGCAGGGGGAACAGAAATTTTATGTTCATAACATGGTGTAAAGACATCTCTCTATTAAAATGTAAATATGTATGTTCTCTGCCACATTGATTCTTCTTTCTGTTCTAGGTTTAGCTTATGCTTCAGGCTTAGCAGCTACTATGAATATTGCACATTTGTTAACGATGGGAGACACTGTTATCTGTATGGATGATGTTTATGGAGGTAAGTGAGCACAAATATATGTTAGGTCTTAACTGTGTTAGATGTACTACACCTTAAATATATTAAATTGATCATAGATAACTAAGCATTTAGGATGTTCAACCAGCTATTGTTTGAATTGCATCTTTATGATGACCTTATTTTTAATTGGAAAGAAAACTTCATGCAATGAAAAGTCTTCTGTAATAACAGACCATTCCTTCATGACTTCGTTGGCCAAAGGTGGAGATGTGACTGTTTGTAGAATGGTTGCACTCGTTTAAGCTGGAGAACTCAAAAGGTATGGCTAACTGTGATCTTCTTATCTAGTGGCCTCACAAATGTGAACAGGAGGGAAGACACATCCTTATGGAGCCTTACATGGGGGAGGGGTGACATATCCTTATTGAGCCTCCATATGGTAGAGAAGGAATTGTTCATATTACTCTGGGAACTTTCAGAGGAAAGAATATATTGTCCACTTCTGCCAGAATCTTCGAGAAAGTAAATACCACCTCAAGGTTCCTGTTTCATGGTCTGCAGAGAGAGCTAGAATAATCAGCATGGTCAACAGGTGACCTTTGTTCATCACTACAAGGAGATAATCAACCAACATAGCTAGTATAGCCTCCATATCATACCCAGGTCTTGAACCAAATTGAAAAAAGACAGAAGAGTCCAGATGCCACAAGCTGATTAGCTGCCTCTTCAGTAAAGGAAAGGTTAGGGAAAGGCCAACCATTTGGCAATATTTGTTAAAAGATGATTTATTGAGCAAGAGCTGGACAGTATGTTTGAAGGAATTCAGCACCTTGCTCTCCATTATCCACAAAGCAGTTTTTCATATTAAAAAAATGTTAACTTATTTTCCAAGCCACTTAGATTTACCTGGCTGTCCAGTACATGAAGCAGTGCTGCTGATTTAAATTTACAGAGGAAATGGTGGAATTTACTTCTCCACTACCAAAACCAGCATAGCCTGAGACTTAAATGCTCCACAGTACAATCTTTCAGGCTCCAGCCTTTCAACCGTGACCACTGGAGATGGGATACTGACCCCTGCCATGTAGCCTCTATTGGCTGCTGTTACAAACTGCCTCCCCTCATGCTTCATCACTTGCAGGTCATCCATATACCAGGATAACCTGGGGGGATAGCTTAAAAAAGGGGGGTTACTAAGGAACCATTGTGTCAGAAGATGATAAATCATCATAATGTCCTACCAGGCAATCAGTAAAGTAGGCTGCTGGCTGTAGAGTATTTCTCTGCAGAAGTATGCAATCCAACCTGGTCCATTACTTTCCCAGACAGAATAAATGGGGGGGAGGAGGAAAGTCTTCTACACTAATGAGACCAAAAATGAGCCTTTATCTCCACCTGAAAAAGGTAATGCTAGCATGACAAGGGTGTGATCCTCACATTCCCAACCCAGAAATAAGATCTAAAGAGTCTATTTACATGTATGGAGCCAAAAGGAATCCACAAGTTAAATGTCATATGCTTATGTGAACCCAAGTTGACTCAGAAAACCCAGAAGTTGACTCAGAAAACTCGAAGTTGCCCAGACAGAATTGTCTTGGGGAGATTGATATCTCTCTTTAAATAGGTTATTTCCAGTGTTTAAAAAAAATTAAATAAAAAATTACACTGGATATGCCTACAGCCCTTGGTCATTGCTGTAGGCTTTGTGGCTAAACCTCTGAGTTAATGAGCTCACCAGGGTGGATTTGATTTAAATCAAATTGATTTAAATTATGATTTAAATCACTCGTCAGGAAGCCTCGATTTAATTATGGATTTCTACATAAGGTTGTTATAACCTTAATACATATTCTTCACAAATCAGAGATAGATGTAGGTTTCATTTTTTAGAAGGTACACACTATACATTTTTTAAAGTGATTTATTTTGAAAACTTTTCAGATTTAGTTTTACAACTATATCAGAAAATAAATGATTGGTTATTTTACCAAAAGTAATTGAAGCAGATAGTTCACCTCCCAATGACTGCATAAATATCTCCAATTCAACAGGTTAATCATTAATATTTGGAGGATTTTCTTGCCAGGCTGTATTAGGAGGAGAACATCACCAGACATTTAAATTGTTTTATTTAACTAAAACAACAAGGTTGTGTATTCTAGATTTTTTTCTTCATCAGCAAACACATAATATTTTAACAAAACAAGAATATGAATTTTTGAATTTAAACATTCAAGTTTTTTAAAATCAGGCTTGTTTTTGTTAACATTGTTTTTAACTAAAATAGTTAAATGAAATATTTAAAAAAAATTTTAAATCAACTATGTCAGCCACATCAACACAAGAAACTTAAAATATTGGCTTCTGTAACTAAGTCAGTCGTCTTCACCTTCATTTTCCTGTTTGTTCATAATTTGGAAAAGGAAAAACAAACTTTCCTGCTTTTTTCAGGTCCCAAACGATTTCTAAATTTGGAATGAATTAGTCCAAAGGAAGAAAATATCCTTTCTACACTGGCAGAAGAAGTTACTGCTGTTAAAAGTGAGATTATCACTTCAACAGTCTCCGAATCCAAGTGCTTAAGTGACTTCCACCAGTTCAATGGTGTGACTTTCTTTAAAACCTCATCAGCAAACATATATATTTCTTGAATGGTTCACCCTTAGCTCTGAAGTTTATTATAGTTGGCATTATGGAGGGATGATTGCTGGATGTCCATGTCATAGCCAACTCCTCTTCTTCAGCAGTTAAGGTTTGACCCTGATGCCGAGTATTGAGAATATTTGCAAGAAAATGAGCTGGAGATAGTGCTTGTCCCATTCGTGGTTTTTTTTGTAATTTAACTCTGTCATTGCATATTTCTCTTTTTAAGCTCTCACTCAGTTCTTTCCAAATTTCAACAGCATCAGCAATAAAATAGCTATTTCCCTGCATTTTGTTCAAGACTACAGAAATAGGCTTCAGGGTACTCAGCATGTGTTCAACATTTCTCTTAAGCCCAATGGCGAGAACTTTGGCTGTGACAGTGCCATCTACTTTTTCACAATTTTGTTCACAAACGGTCATCAGATTAGGCCAGACCTTGATATATAGTGCTCAAAACAGTCCACTACTGAGTTCCATCGTATGTCTTGTGGGAGAGTTAGCTTGGTTCCTCCCACCTTTTTCAGAGCAGCTGCTGCAAAGTGGTTGTTACGGAAGTATTTTGCAATTTCAACAACATTAGCCTTTATTTCTGGAACACTGAAGTCTTTGGCTAGGAGGTGCATCAAATGAGCAATGCAACCGTATGTTATTAGCTTGGGACTCTCTTCACTCTCTTCTAAATAATTTCTTCTCATCTTGGATACATTTGCAGCATTGTCTGTGACCAAGCTGCGTACTAGACATTTGAATTTTTTTTCACAGTTTGTTATAGCTTTTACTGCTGCTACTGTAAGTATTCTGCTGTGTGTACATTTCCTGATGTATCAATTGTTTCTGTAAGGAAGACATTCCCTTCTTCTGTTGTCACACAAGCACATACAACAGGATCATTGTGGACATTGCTCCACCCATCAAGACTCAAGTTAACAATTTTACCCTCTAGAACTTTTGCACCCTGCTCAATCTCTTTCATACACTTTATCCAGCAATTTGCCTGTGACATCTGCTCTGTTGGGTGGACTGTATCCTGGTCTTAATGAGTGAACCATGTTAATGAAGTGTGGGTTCTCAATCATACGGAAAGGAGAGTTTGTTGCATAAACAAACCAGGCAATTTCTTTCATCAATTACCTCTTTTTGTAATCCGCTGGTTCTTATCACAAACTTATCTATGGTTGTTTCCGGATGATGGAGATTTGTTTTTCTTTTTGCTACTGTGATATACTGTGGCTATGTGACATACATGATGTGACTGAAACATTATCATTTTCAGAGTTATCTGCCACTGTAGAAAATGATGGTGGTCTTGAAGGTGGATAGTCTTCAGAATCCTGTATGTTGAGGATGGATTCTCCTAAACAAAATAAGTCAATGTTATTTAATTATTATTACCATAATGCTCATTTAGTATTACTCATTGCATTCACTGACACTCAGTACTACTTTAAAGGTGAAATTGTAAAAGGAAGATCTGTCTATTTCAGCTATTTATTTTTTATCACAAGTGCATCTAAAATGATAGTACCATAGAGTAACATCTATCTATCTTATCTATAATTTGGTTTTTTTGGCTCAAACACGAGAATTCAAGAGTAGTCCAGAAGGAAGACCGGCAGTCCTTAAGAAAGAAGAATGAAATAAAAAAAATTACCGACTTGAAGATCCTGCATGTTCAGACATGTTCCTTTCATCATCTTCAACGCAGCTTCCTCCCGAGAAGGAACACTTCTCATGATGTTGTTTCATTCGGGAAACCAGGCCTCGGCCGTGTCCAGCAAAAACGAATCTTGGTGATGCCTACACGGCATCAGAGGAGGGAAATTGTGGGGGAATAGGCCTGGCTGGCCTCCCTTGCACCGATCAGAACATAGAATCATAGAATATCAGAGTTGGAAGGGACCTCAAGAGGTCATCTAGTCCAACCCCCTGCTCAAAGCAGGACCAATTCCCAGCTAAATCATCCCAGCCAGGGCTTTGTCAAGCCGGGCCTTAAAAACCTCCAAGGAAGGAGACTCCCCCCCCTCCCTTGGTAACCGATTCCAGGGTTTCCCCACCCTCCTA